AAATATGTATCAAATTTTTTTTAAACAGTTTTGAAACTTTTACATTCCTCAGATGTCAAATTAAATGATTCAAATATGCTTTCGGCCTTTTCGCCCATCATATATAGTAAGGTGTTTACCTGATATGGTTCGTCTTCATTGGTGAGCCCAGATACCGCATGAAAGCGCAAGAAACGGGTTTTCCATTTAGACCAGTTTTCTCCTTTAAAATCAAAATGTTCTGGGGTAGGAACACTAAAACTTTTCATCTTCATGTACTGTATATTGCTAAAACAATAAAAAGCCCGCTGCCACCATGTAGTGTTATCGCAAGTTAAATTAAAATATAGTTTTAATAAGACAAATACTTTATTAGGTAGCTTTTACAAAAAAAACCAGATTCAGAATGTTTACCAACAAAAACTAAACAAATAATATTCTAATACCATATGTTTTCAAACACATATGAATAACAACACACTAACTTTTAAATAGTTTTAAGTTGTCATAACTAGTACAATTTATTAAAAACAGCTATCTTATCGAACCAGTTTTGTTCATTAGGTCGTTGAATCCTGGAAAATAACTGGTTTTTTATACATTTTAGTTGGCTTATAGTTAGTATATATTTTAGAGCCAAGAATTAAACAAGCCTGGAATAAATATAAAAAATATTAAAGTTGAACATTCCATAGATGATATAAGCTTGTTATCAATAAATAATTCGTAATAGTAAAGATGCAAATTGTTTGTTGAGGATTTATGCAAAAACAAAGTTTACCTGCTTACTGCATACCTATGTTAACAGTTATGTACAAATCTAGACATATAACGAATACCACACCGTTATACTTTGCGTGAATTCTCCGTGTTGCTGGAAGTTTTACCCCCTGTACATATTTCTAAGATTTCAGAGATGGTGATGTACGGAATGGAATTTCAACCCCCCCTCAAGAAAAATTATTTGTGTCGCCAAGTCAGAGTTTTACCCTCTGTATACATTACTTAGGTTTCACAAAAATGTCGATGTATGGGTTGGAATTTCATGCCCAAAATGAGGCTAACACAAAACACTGAATTAACGTACAAACGTAGAAATAAATACGTAATATGTTTCTAAAAAAAAAAAAAAAAAAAAAGGAACTATGAGAAAACGAATATCCTTAATACTTACATTGTGTTTCTGTACTAGGAACTACATAGTTTTTTGAGAACTAACGTAAATATTGGAGAACTATCGAGAACTAACGAAGAACTAACGATTGGTGTATAGATATAAGCATTTATAGTCAGAAAACGGCGTCCGCTGGAAATTGTACAACTGTGAAGTTAGCGTACCCACTTTGTATGCCTCGTAACTTTTTTATTTTTTGAGAACTAACGTAAATATTGGAGAACTATCGAGAACTAACGAAGAACTAACGATTGGTATATAGATATAAGCATTTTTATTCAAAAAAAGTGTGCCCGCTGGAAATTCTATAATTGTGAAGTTAGCGTACCCACTTTGTATGCCTCGTAACTTTTTTATTTTTTGAGAACTAACGAAAAAATTTGGGAACTATCGAGGATTAACGAAGAACTAACGATTGATATATAGATGTAAACATTTCTCATCAGAAAACGGCGCGCGCTAGAACCGGAAGTGTGAAGTTAGCGTACCCACTTATTATCGGCTATAACTTTTTTATTTTTTGAGAACTAACGACAAAATTTGGGAACTATCGAGAACTAACGATGAACTAACGATTGGTATGATCAAAAGTGGATACGCTATTATGGGTACGCCAACTTCACGGACCTCACTGCCATAGTACTATCTTTTCATGTCTTCACATGCTTGAACCCCTAAACTTATCCACTAGGTTGTAAATTGTGGTTGTCAATGTAGTAAATAGTAATAAATACAATAAAATCAATAAACAAAAAACAATATGCAAATAATCCTTTTTTATTTAATTAATTTGAATTCTCAAAATTTTGTTTTAAGTTTGAAGCAATAAATACCTCAAAGGTACATAGAGAAGGCTTACGGTGGTATCACCTTGGTTAGGCAACTTACAATATTTAATAATTTTATGAAGTTTATTAATATATATATATATATATATTATTTAGTTACTTTTCTGTGTTACAAAAATGTTTTAAAACTGATTATATTAATTTTTAACAAAGTGAACATACTTGAAATCTTATGTTTTAGTATATCTTTTAATACGCTAAAGAAAAATATATAAAAATTAATTTTATAAAATGAAGCAATCAAAATGCCACAAGTTTTATTGGTTATTCAGATGGATCATTTTGTGTAGATTAAATTTAAAAAAAAAATTGATTTGATTATCATTCTGCCTTTAGGAGATATTAATTTTTTCGAAAAACCATTTTCGCCCCCCAAAAAAATGGTCGAAAACATTCAAATTTTTTTTAAATTTATTAATTGAATAAATTAGATAGATAGAATAGATAGAGTAATTCCATATTTTTTCCTATATTCAGCATAGTTAACTTGATAATACTGATTTTTTTTCATAAGATTTAATCCATAAATGCCTAAGATATATATATTTTTTTAATTTTACAATATCCGCCGTTCTAAGTCTCGGAGAGAGCGAAAACGTCCATTTTTCCAAAAGTTTAAAATGCTATAAATCAAAAACCGTTTAAGATAAAGAGTTGAAATTTGGAATATTTTCATATCTTAGTAGGAAGATCATAACCTCCAAGTTTCGTCAAAATCTGAGATGGTGGGTGACATGGCCTGGATGATTTGATGTCGAATGACCCACGGGTGGTCCATAATAACCGCTAACGATTTTTTTTGTGACAGCTCATCTAACTTATTGGTTAGAGTGATGATTTTTGCGTTGAATGTTTCCTTAATTAAGTTGTTCAAACTAGCCTATTCATTTTTTCTAATGGAGGTGACATTACGATAAAACAATTTGGCTTTAATTTGTAACTAAATATCGGGTTTATTATAGGAAAAATCATAGCCTATACATTGTCATTGTAACAGTAACTCAATTTCGACAAAATTAGATAAAAGACGAATTGGAAATGATCGACTGAAATTAAACCTACACCACGTACTCGGATCTTTAGGACACACGTTGTGTCGATACGTCGTGTTACCTACACCACGTACTCGGATCTTTAGGACACACGTTATGTCGATACGTCGTGTTACCTACACCACGTACTCAGATCTTTAGGACACACGTTATGTCGATACGTCGTGTTACTATCTGTTTTTGTATGTGTCCAACGCATTTTCTTTATCTCTAGCTTATCCACATATGGCTTAGGCCTACTGGCTGTTACCTCATCATAAGTTCTCTTGTGTCTCAATCACCTATTTAATTTATCTTACTTTGTATTCTGGATGCACACTTCGCTTCATGTAGCCCTGTACTCAAAAGCATAGAGCAACAACTACAAAACTTAATAATCTCAATGCCAACCACCTTTCCTGTGTCCAGACAAGTTGAAGGGAGTATTCCATCCAATGAGGCGTGTCCACCTTTTTACCACGATCCATCTAGATCAATTGATTAATCTCTGGAACTAATGTTAGCAGCTACAGTATCTGATACTGCTTGTTTCATAGATTTTGTTCAAACTTCCACTAAAAACGTTTCACAAAATAATGTTATAAAATTTAAAGTAATTAAAATGTCAAGTATTAAAGTATACAAATTAATTGGAGGGCTAAGGATCCATTACTCCGCTAAGCTGATACTCTACCTTTACCTATGACCATAAAGCAACCTAGCATTAAAATCATACAGTTTTGTCTTACTACCTGTTACAGTAATTTCTACATGATCCTGGAGTTTTACTTAAGGGTGCGCTCTACCTCAGCTCGGAAATCTCAGCTCGGGCTTCAGTTGCTATGTTGCACCATTGGACAATGCCGCGAGAAGCGCTTGCAGAGGTTTCCAAGATTACTGTTTTCGAATTAACCAATAATGATAGCTACGCACTCTAAACGGCTTATAGCAGTGCAAATACCAATCTATAGTTCTGCGTTTTTCAAATTTTTAAATAACGTTTTTTCAATAAGTTAGGGCTAGTTGAAGGGACCTTTTTTCTTGTCCCACAAATCAAGTTCATAAGGTGTGTATTAAAAATAAATGAAATAATGAAACGCAGAACTATAGAAAATTTCATTCTCTTTAACATGAGACCTTTAACTTTGATTCTACCTTACAACGTAACAGGTGAAAACAGTAATCTTGCAAACCCTTGCATTCGGTTGCGCGTCAGGGGTAGAGCGCACCCTTAAGCTGTCTTTTCACAATTCACACACTGTAAAGCAGTTTTACAAGCTAGTCACTTAATATGTTTTTAACAATTATTTTCGTTGCAATAATATACTTTACAAACCGCATCGTTTTCTAAACTGGATTGTAATTATATTGTAACATCGTCTCAATAAAAAGAAGGGGTTACCTTTAACTTTAGAAGAAGAAATGTTACTGGGACTTATACCGTTTCCTAGAATGCTAGTAGTAGGCTGTTTATGTACTAGGCCTACAATATATTTTAATATTTCCATTTGCACTTTCAGGCAACCTTCAAAATATTATTGCCACAAAATCTTTTTTAGTGAACCGTGTGATTTTTATTATCTTAAATAATAACTTAAAACACAAACATTAAACACAATATTTCATTCTTAACTAAACTGAATGAATTTCTCTTTATTTTCAAAATGTTTGTAAAAATGTATTGTGTTTGTATGTTTGAATCCCTAAAATGATGTCTGAGAAACGGAGTAGCTTGTTTTTATTTATTTACCCGGTGTTTGCAAAACTATAGTGGATTCTATCGGTATTTTACAAATACATTCTTACAAATAGTCACTGTATCACTAGATAAGACATGGAATATAAAGTGAATCAAAAAAAGTTTAAAGTCTTGATTTTTTAAGTTAAAATTGTATATTTAACTTATTCCGAAATATTTGCGAGTCGTTTAATTAAATATTAACTAATGCAACAAATTGGCTTTTACAGGCAACAGTCCAAACACTTGGGACAAACCAAGAAAAGGAGAGACAGCAGAGATGTGCAGGTCTTCCTTCACAACGTCACTTCCACGATCAGTGCAAGACAGGTGAGTTGACTGAGGAAGATTGGTGAGGGTCACTTACTAACGTCATGTACAGTCAGCTCAAAAAACCTCCCGCTAGTCCCATGCAACGCTCTTCGCATTTACTCTATCACATTCCGCGCAAAGTACACCAAAAGTTTCCGCTGGAGATGTTGCCTTTTTTCTCTAAGTGGTGTTACAAACATTTTAAAATAGAAACCTCTACATTTTTCATTGCAATTCAAGATATAAAATGATTCCGCATGGATATGAAACTAAGTACTACTGCTCCTACTTTTTTTCAATAAGCTTTTTGACTGAAAAATAAAGTAAACAGTTTATGTAAAATGTCTTTACCTAACCCGCCATGTTAATCTTCCCTATCCCAAGCGTGATGTATACAACTTCCTTACTTCTCGAGTGATGTAAAGTTGAAAAAAACTCACTCGGTGATGTAATGAAACCCATTTAAATAACATTGAGTGCTTAACGTAATAGCTATTTACCTTACAAGTGTAATAAGAGCGTTTTTACATCACGCAGGTGAATGTTGTGCAACGAGCGGAAGTGAGTTGCATAATTTACCGAAGTGATGTAAACACGCTCTTGCGTAACGTGTAACGTACAAGATTTTACCTGACCCGACAATATACAGGAGGTTACGAACAATATTTTTCATTATCCATTTCACTCATCTTCTAACAGTAACGTTCATTTACAAACAAAAGCTAGATTAGGAAAATTCTTCAAAACATAACAATAAAATTCAAGCGCACAGCTGATTTCTAGCGTTGAACGTCGTTGGCTCCATAGAGGTATATTTTTTAAGTTAAGCACTCAATGTTATTTAAATGGGTTTCATTACATCACCGGGTGAGTTTTTTTCAACTTTACATCACTCGAGAAGTAACGAAGTTATATACATCACGAGTGAAATGGTTAATGAAAAATATTGTACGTAAACCCATGTATATTGTCGGGTCAGGTAAAATCTTGTACATTACACGTTGCGCAAGAGCGTGTTTACATCTCTTGCATGATGTAAAAACGCTCTTACTACACTTGTAATGTAAAAAGCTATTACAAGGTTTCTAATAACCATTGTGGTTTTTGACCTAGACATTCCCAGGAGATTAAGAATCTTGAGTTATAGAGATACTGGTATTGCTCTAGCGTGTTGTCTTTGTCACAGGGGCCTGCTCTAGAGCTGGTATACTCCGTGCGGGTTTCTGGCAAGTTGGTTCCAGCTACCACGGCTGCCACGGATATGCGCTTGTTGTCTGACAAAGAGGTTGTCGCTGAATTGGGATACCCTTTAGTCACAAAGGCTGAACGTAAGTATACTTACACTTACTCTCGACTCAGGAAGGCATCTGACTTTGTTTCGCCGTGACCAATCACTTACTTGCAAAAACTTATGATTTGCCATGTGTATATTTTTACATGTGTTCTAAAATAGACAAATTTTAGCTATATCTGCCCGTCTCTATAGAGGCTACAAATTTAGGCCTTATGACAATGAAAGACAGTGGTCAAGTGAAGTAAATAAAGAGAACTCAGTATTGTTGCCGTAACGGTTACCTGAATGAGATAGTGATTGCTGTATTTCTAAATGCAGGCCAAACAACTTGCTCTTGAGCAGATTTAAAAAGAAGATAGAAACCGATTATCTATAGTAATTTGCTTGTTCACCTGGTGTGTTTTATGTGATTTATGTTCGTTTTGTGTTCAAGTTCTTCTAGGGGGTGAATTTTGGATTCAGTCTCTTCTCAAAGAGCAATTAAGTACAATTAATTAAAAGCTCTCAATCCTGATATATGTGACTAATTTTTTACATGCTCAATATGTTATAGGGAATAAATCAGTTCAAAATAGATTATCATGGATATCCACAGTTATACTGTGGATCCTTTATTACGTTTTTGCTTGTCTTTAATACAACTTTTCAAACTGAGTGAAAACGAAATTTAATACCCAAAAGTGTGTGATGTTGTTTCGTCAGCGTACCTCAAGTCGAGTGAGTGGCAAGAAGTGTCAGATGTGTCGGCTCGGCAGGACGTCTGGTTGCTACTGGCTGCTGGTGTGAGCGCGGTGCTGCTGGTAGTGGTGCTGGTAGTGCTGTTCGCTCTAGGCGTCGGCCGACACAAGCGAAAGCAGCGAGTTGAGGGCAGCGCCAAGCGTGGCCGCGCGTTTCGTGACAGTGAACAAAGCGAGGACAACATGGCCTACCAATGCGACGATCAAGAGTCGAAGGTATTGTAATACATTTGTTCGCTACCCGTAATTGACACAACACAGAGTGTACACAACATTTCTGGAACGCTATTGATACGCTTAACAGTTTTTAGTAGAATCATCTGTTTTAATTATATTTAAGATTCACAACATGTCCTAATTTTTGTATTGGTAGAATTCAGAAACTTTTTATTTAGTGGAAATATTATTCCAATTTTTATGAGCAACAGTGCGTTTGGCAAACACACCTGACACACAGTTGTTTGAAGGTGGTCAGCCCTGATTCTCCATCCCGCCTGAGTGGTCGCTCTGGAGGAAGCTCAGAAGCGTCTCTGGTGAGGCGTAGTCCGCCTTGCCCGCCCAAGCCCAGGCCTCGCAGCCACAAGGCGCCCAGTCCAAACTCCTACCTCTCCATGCCCTCAGTCAAGGCGTTCCCCAGGTGAGGAAGCACAAGTTACTAATATTATTTTAATATGCAGTTTCGACATGTTTATACAGATTTGAAGAAGAATATTATATATCATAACAAGGCCAGGAAGTGTTGGTTTACAGTATGAACATAATGGTTACCGCGTGAGATTTGCCTAGCGTGAGTTTCATGCGAGTACCATAAACACCTTCCCGGACGACTTGCGTACTCAAATCTCAGGTACGATTTTATAATCTGCAAATTAGTAATTCGGCATTAGATTTTTAATAATTTAGCACTGTTGTGGGTAGTCCGAATTATGAATACAACGTGCAAATCAAATCTAATATCACTTTATAATATTATCACTATACAGTATATAACGGTGCTGTAGAGTTGTTTTTTGTCCATAATTTGAAATCGGAATAATTTTAACCACCCAGGTCAACAGGCTAAATGTCAACTGGAATGGTACATTATTATAAGGTTTGCTCCGGCTGAGGGTAAAGCTAGCCTCTGTTTATTTTAAACGCTTTAACTTATAATTAAGAATACTGTTGGCTTGACTTAGGGTCCTATTTTTCTTGGTGAAAAATACCAAGGTAAATTTGGAATTTCGTGTATGACATTAAAAAGTTAATAGTGAATTAAAAAATAAATAACAATTATAAAATCAAATGCGCCTACTTAAAAGAGGAAGGACTAAGTCGTCATCGGATTTTTCCCTTACAATTTATTTTTCCCTTTCAATTTATGTTAAACTCGCTGTCGATGTTAAATTTGGTGTGGGAGTCTTCCGCCAAGTTTGTAATGAAGTTTTCTTGGATGTCTTCGCTCAAGGCCGCCTCCAGGTCTCACATTTTGTCTTATAACTCAACCACTTGTTTTACATATTATCTCCAATCTTAAGCTGTCACCTTGTAGAGGGCGTTGTCTAGACTATTCCACAGATTGCATAGTGTAGTCAAAATTCAATCTGGTAACCTCGTGCTTGGCTTTAGCTACACTAGCCAATGGTAGGGCGGAAGTCCTAAGACCGTGTGACTCATCTCCTCTGCAGCCTTTTATACTTCGTACGTTTTTGCCACATACCAAAAACAGTCTAGAATACGAGATACTGGTTCAGCTTTCACGATTTGGTTGTCAAAATAGACTCCATTCCTTGAAAGCCACTCTTGACTATCCTGTTTCTCTCACATCATAGACGACAGTTTGTGAAGTGTCTCGCTGTGGTAAGAGGTGTTGTCCATCACGATGTTGCTATCCGGGGACAGGGGTGCAGGATTCCCTCAAACCACTCTTCAAATGCCTTGGAGTTCATCTCTTCGTGGTGGTTTACATTTTGAATTTTCGCTGTTTTCTTCGCCTGGAAGACCCACTATGAGTACTCTCCTGACGTACAATCCTGAGTGACGGACCACCTTTCTTCTGATGGGTCCGTCGGGTCTTCAACAAATCCATCTTCACTGCCGATTTGTATAACAATGTGGCGGCTACCTCGCCCTGGAACGTTGTGAAGTCCGGTTGTCTCTCCGTTCATGAACGCCTCCCTCGATGATTTGATGTAACTCAGTGTCCATGCCCTTTTTACTGTGTATTCGGTGTTCACAATGTTTAATCGTGGTAAGATATTTCTTCTCGTCGTGCCTGAATTCTTTTACTTGCTTCAAATAGCGCCTTTTTCATCGCACTATGTCGTCCCGTTCGATGAGAATGGATCGTTTTTATATTTTTTTCAAATGTAAAGCCCAAATCAATACCTAATCTGGTTGTGATGCACGTGGATACAAAAATGGCAAGTCAGGATCTTCTTTAATTAGTTTCGTCAGCTCATTTTTTTGCAATGGGTGGTATATTTTGTCTATGCAAACTGTCTACTTTCCTTCTTATTCCTGTTTCTTATTCATTAAATTTATTGATTCTAAGACACTGCCCCATGTCTTAAGCCTTTTTTTCTGTGGTGTTACTAATGGACTTTCATCATATTCTTTTATAAAACTTTCAACCGTCCCCTTTCCTGCTTTAGTCAAAACACCAACCCTCTCAGTAATTTCTCTCATCTCGCTTTTTAGTCTGTGGGTTCTAGTTCTTACGGCGCTTATGGCATTACATTTGGGTTACCAGCGTTTGGTGTCTGACCGGTGATTCTGCTGAGTCACCACTGGTGACCAAAAATCATCGCATAATTGAAACAATTGGCACCCATTACACAAAGTCGCCGCTGTTTCGTCATCAGTGTATTTTTGTGTTTTGCAAGTTCAGATTGTTTGTTGTTGTTAGTGTAGTGAGCGGACGTAATGTTGGAAAGATATAAATAGATGCTACTTTTTGGTCTGTTGTTAGGGAAAATAAGGAGACGGACAAGTAAAATGCGGTGCATTCGATATTATCTTTGAGAGAAACAAAATGATTGTTTTATACCCTTTTTGTTGAACTTTTGGCTGACGAAAACAAGTTTTAAAAGCAAGGCTCATATAACTGCCATAGCAACTTCATTTTGAGCAGTCGCAAACTCATTGAATTTATTTTGATCGAGTAGGTGGATTTCTGTGCTGGCAAATCGATTCGCACCCTTTTTCTGAACTCACCTTACTTCCTGAGTTGCGCAAAAGGCTCAAAGTACATATTCGCCTGCATACTTGCCATTCCTCAGATGATAGTGGGTCTAAATCCGTGTCTAAAAGAGTCAACATGTGCTTAATTGCCTCTTCGAACAATATACATATTTCTATCGTGAAAAACGTCGAGTTCCAACGTGTTATCACATCTTGGAGTAATCTTTTTGGTTGGCAGGTCCCAGGCTGTTCTTGATACTTGACTAGCATTTACACTGCTTTATTACTCCTTTTAAAATGAGATACAATTTTCACCTTTTTCATTGTATCATAGGTACCTACAAGAGAGTCTTGGACAATAAGATTTAGCTTATGTGCATAACATCCGGAATGTTTGAATTTTAAACAGTCGGTAACGGCACCCGTAATATTAGCGTTGTCTGGGATAATTATCGATGATTTATCTTTTATTTGCCACTGGTTCATAGTATTGGAAATGGAGTCAGCCAAGTTTTGGGACGTATGGGCAGCATCAAATTGAGAGCAGTCCAGTAAAACTGTTTGTAGTTTAAATTCGGTATCTATGTACTGTTACTGCGATGAATCTTTAAATTTTGGCTGATGTCCATGAATTGACTGTTAAACAAACGTCAAGGGCTTCTTTTGCCAACAATGCTTTTAAATTGCTAAATAATTCTTCATACATTGCAAATAAAGTGAGTATTCAAAATATTTACGTGAGGGAATTCACTGTGTTCAATTTCAGTTTCAATCAGGCCTAAATTATCATAAATTCTAGAACTATAATTACATTATTAGCTCGTGGTGTTTCGACTTGATTATCAATATTGTTTGGTAGAGTAACTAAAGGGTGTTTTCTAATTATATGTTTCTTCAGATACTGAAAGATCCCTTGTAAGAAAGAATATTTTTGCACAGTTTGCATCAGGCAATATTGTTATCCAATGCATTAAAAAAGTCCATACATCACTAACCTTTCTTTCTTTTTTGGTCCATGATGAAGGAAACAAAAAAAAAACTAAAAACCATAAGGTAAAAAGTTCTCTTCTTTCGGCAGATGTTAATTGTCTTACTTGCTTTGCGCCTTTGGGTGCAATCACTTTATTGGTGGTTTGTACAGTTTTAACACCTGTTTCGTCTTAGTTGTAGATGTTTTCTGCGGTAAATTTGTACTTACCAATAGTTGATCGTAGATTTGCTGTACAACAGGTTTGTTAAATCCCATTGATCGGGCTAGAGAAGTTGCCTCTGGTTTCCTAATTAATGGAAATATTACCACCTCTCTTCATAAATTGTGTGTTGAAGCCAATCGTCCACCGCAGCCTTGTTTCTTACCCATGAAGTAGGTAGATCCTTGTTTAACAGCTTGCCATATTCGTAGGCCAACTTCCTAGCTTCTACTGGAGGAAGGCCATGATGTAAACCGGCCGCCTTAGTCAAGTAGATGATCAAATGCTTCTCTTCTAATTCATCGAAAACTTGCTTCTAATTATAGTTTGGCTAGTCTCTAGGCTTGATGACAGGTTTTAAAGAAACCTGTTATATATAATGGTCAAGTTCACAAAATGGGACAAAAGCGAAAAAAATAACTATTACTATGTCAATTGGAAATATTATATACTAAACTTATAGATTATTTTGTCAACAATAAGATAAAGGCCGCAGCAATGCAGAATTCCAACTCAAATTAATTATTTTACATTATTTTCAAAAGGCTACTCACTGAAAAATACAAGTAGTTCACTCCCATAAAACAGCAAATAAATACTACTTGAGGTTAACTATTGTACATTTTTTATTGTTTAACATAAATAATACTCTGAACAAATACATTAACAAAAAAAATACTGTGTTTTTTCACTCCACAATCACGAATTATTTACAAACTAACCCTTCTTTCTAGGTTAAGTTAGTTTTTAAAGTTAAACTTTAATATTGAATGAAAAGGCCTTTATTAAAATTAACAATATATATTTTGTTTAGTTGTATGTGATTGCGCAACTATAATGTACCAAAAGAATATATTTTATATGAAACCCAAAATGAAATATCTCACCTTTTATTGCCGCTAACGAGTGGTAAAAACGACTTATCGGCAGCAACGACTTGTTGCCAACGAGACTTCTGCCTTAACTTAAGCTGTAGGGCCCTTCTGTACGGGCGTTTTTGTCCCACCGATAACACGCCGTTACTCTAGTTTGATACAGCGACGACGAAATTCATGAATACTATCAGCAGTTGCAATCGCAATTTTAAACGGTGCAAGAAAAACTGGTGTAGAAAGGCCATAAGAAAGATCGCATTTGGTGAAAGGTGATAAATAAACAATGCAATTATTGCATTAACCTTCTTTATTATTATAGCTTATAAAGATAACGATTCATAGAAAAAACAACCCCAAAAGTCAAATGCTCAGCCTTTTAAAAATAATAATGTCATCCTTAAGAAAACCTT